GGGGCACTTGGCCGGTCCCCCGGATCTGTGGCCAGGGACGGCCGGGCCGTGCGGCAGCGAAGGGGCCAAGGAGGCAGCGCGCTCGGCGCGGAGCCCAGATAAGGGCGTTAAACAGCTGTGCTGCTCGTGCTGGGCCTGGCGCTCCTGCAGCTCCGTCTGCACGGGTGTGCGTGGATGGGTGCACGTGTGCATGCATGTGCATGCATGGTTGTGTGCATGCATGGTTGTGTGCATGCATGCGCTCATGTGCATGGGGGTGCACGCTTGCATCCGTGTGCATACATGGGCGCACGCACGTGCATGCATGGTTGTGTGCATGCATGCGCTCATGTGCATGGGGGGGCACGCTTGCATCCGTGTGCATACATGGGTGCATGCACGTGCATGCATGGGTGCACGCGTGCAAACAGGCAGCTCCGTCTCGCCAGCAGCTGAACAGCCTCCAGCCCTGCTTGGAGGCCCTGCACCGACCTCCACGTCCCACGAGCCTCTACCGGGGCCCTGGCGCCGCTGGGCGCGACGGGCGCCCTCCAGTGCAGCACGGACCTTGTCCAGGCCGTCAGCAGGGGTTAATGATTAACGAGGGCTCAATGAGTAACGAGGCTGTGCTTGGAATGGGGCAGAGAAGGGAGAAAGGGCATCGTAGACATGTCTGAGCGCAGGCAAAGGCTGCGAGGGGAGGTGGTTTTCCATGGAATTTGGGGTGCATTTCCTGCGGGCCGGGCAGGCAGATGGGCTGGGCAGGTGGCTTGGCTGCTCCTTGCGCCCTTCCCGTCATTTCCCGAAGCCGTCAGGCTCTCCGGGAACGCCGCCAGGCTCATGGGGAGCCTCTGCGCGCTAAGTGCGGCCGATCCCCGAGGGATCGCAGCGGCGCCGCGAGCCCGGCCGAACGTGCTTCCTCCTCCTCCTCCTGCTCCTCCTTCCTCCTTCTCGGATTTCGGGGGTCCCCGTGTCCCCCAGCAGCCTCGCGGGGGGTCCCCTCGCTGTCCCTGCCCTAGGGACGGGCAGAAGCGGCGGGCCCGCCCCGGCCCCCCCCGCCCGGGCCTCCCCCCGGCCCCAG